TTATTTCGCTAGAAAGGGTTCAGAACAATTTCACTCGGAAAATTTTAATTCGCCGGGGTGGTTTTCTGTATTCAAAAATTCCTAAGGCCGCAATTAGAAACAAACATTTCAACATTCCTTCACTAGAATCTCGGCGCAAGCTTTTTAAGTTGTGCATGATACATAACTTGCTGACAGGCAAAACCGCGGAAAATTTTTCGGATTTATACTCATTGATTCCTTCCAAAACAAGGGGTAGTCAGCTCAAATTATCCTTCTCTAGGCCCAAAACAACCATAAGAAGAAACTTTTCCTTAGTAAGGGCTGGTCTTGCATACTTGCAAACCAGCAAGGCTCCTAGTATCCTAGGCTCTCTGAGCTCCTTCAAACGGGCAGTTGGTAAGAATGTTTTACAAGCATAGCTGCCACCTTTTTTCTCAGAATTTGTTTGTTCTATCGTAATGTTTTGTGTTGCTGACGTTTGTTTATGTTTTCTTTTTCAACGCTGTCTTATATGGCGTATATGATAAATAAATAAAATTCGTTGAGAAGCTGGCCATTGCCTGTATATTTCCTTACAATCGTAGTTAATGTTTTTGTATGCCCACAAACCCTTGGAAAACTACTAGTCTGACTTCGTTTCATCTTCGGAGGCATGGCGTAATCAGAAAGGATTCAACCGAGGTCTAGAATCTTTTATTTCCCACTCGCTACTGACCTTAGCATTAGCTTTAGCTAGATTTCTTGATTGGAAACTCATATTCATTTTTTTATGCAAATTATATCGGTCGGAAAAGGTCCGCCAAAATTTCGTGATGATCCAGATTTTCCCCAAGATTTTCCCAGAAGCTTTCGTAGGGTTTTGTGTAAAGAAATGACCCTCGCATATTCGTATAACATATCTCCTTCTACCTCCTCCAAGCTTATTTAACGATATAATGTCTGAGCTGTTTACACGTACTTCTTTACCAGTGTAGAACCAGAACCATAGGGACAGGTATGAACCTCGATCCGGACAACCGATTGCGATCTCATGATATCTCCTGATATATTGTGCTCTTACAACTGAGTAGTGCCCTTCCATCAATACTCCCATAGAGCTTCTAGAAGAATCCAGACGAAATTGGGACTGTTATGAAATTTTTGGCAGATTATTTCCTGACAATCTAATGTAGAGACACGGAAGAAATAACTAACTCAAAAGGAAAGAAATAAGTATACGCATATACTCAAAAGCATGTTACGCATGGTAGAGAATTAAGCATAGTAGAATAGCATGGAATCCTCAAATTTTCGAAGAAAACACCGCACAACCGCAGCTTTTTTTTCTGAAGGCCAATAATGTATTTTACACAATCGGCCCACATGTGTTCATATGTTTCAATAGCGCCAGTAAAGGTGAGCTAACTGGAGGAGCATCGACCAGTCTCCAACTTCAATAGGAAGTATGGTCATCTAATTAGAGCTGCGTTGCAACCCATAAGTTATTGCATCATAGTTCATAAACTCTCCATATAAATTTGATAGCTAAGTTCTCACAGTTGCTGTCATTAAGCGTCTTATTCGGCTTTATTGATGATTATATCCACAGTGGTTCCAGTTCTTGTCGGAACTTTTGGATAGTCGTCTTTGTTATGTAAGTGTAAGTTTCATCGTAAGGATAATATGTAATATTCATCGGTCGGCAACTCAAACTCGCAAATGTAAAGGCTTTCGTGTTGCGCACAATATCCTTGAGCCAGCCCTCCACCTACAAAATAAATTTGAAAGCACAAAGATATAGCTTCCACGTACTGCTTTCTATGATTCTCGGCATAACTGTTCTGTTACTAAGTTGTTTTCTTTAACACTTCACGAGGTTTGCATACAAGCTTTATTAGGCTGACGTTTCGGCGGAGTCGCCTTATTCATAGAAAGATCATAACAACGCATGACTATCCGACCAAACGTCTTCATTGCCACATTGAAGTTCGAGACCCCTGGGGCACGCAGGTGGTTAAAGGAAAACCACTGACCGTAGCTTCGTGGATTCCTCGAAACCAACCAGCAATCGATGATAACAACCGACCAGTCTAAGCTGGAGTAGGCCTTCATTCAAAGTCTCTGTGGGAAGGCCAACTTATATAAGGCCGCAGCTCCCGCGTGATTGCAAGGCATTCTTCCCTACGATTCATTTTTGGATCGGTGACTTGCATTCAAAATGCCTCGAGGGTTTTACGTACGCATAATAAGGATTCCTGTGCCATGACCTCCACGGTGACTTCAGAAACGCCTCCGTAGTGCTTTTGAATTCGGTGACTCCCTAAGGCAGTGGACTCTTTCAATCGTTTCATACCATCTATGTGCTCCTTAACTCTCACGTGGAGTGGTCTTGTCGTTTCTCCAATATACTCATCACCACAATCACGACAAGTAATTTTGTACAACACTCTAGACATGTTACAATTACCTTCCCTTCCAGCTGGACAGACCACACAGTTTGAGGCTGTGCAGAGGCTTTGTTCCGAACTTGGCGCTTCTTTAGATTGTAGGGTGGTACGTTAACAATAGCAACCGCATTTTCCAAGCCCGATCTCTTCAGACACCTCCTAATAGTGGCACTGACCGCACCAGAGATAAATGGTAGTGCAAAAGGAATCTTCCCATCAATCGAGCTACCAAGTCTGAGGATCACCAGACGATGCTGTTCTTGTAGTTGAAAAACTGCAGTAGTCATTCATCTAAGCAATATCGCATGCCATTTTAATCGGCTCTTTTCGCTCATCCTCCCCAATGCAATGATATTTTTATTGCTGGAATGATATTATTATTGAATGATATTTTTTTATTTTCTGCACCACTTCGTAACAATCATATCGCGTTGTAACTTCACTTGAATATATAAGAAAGGAAGCAATTTTTGGTCGTTTTTCCCGAGTTGACTTAATATGCTCCGATTGCGAGTTCAGCAGGCCAAAATACACGCCTATTCCTTCCTGTGACGCACAAGCTATGAAGCAGTCGTCTATATACCTGCAGTAAAGTAAGGGCAGTTACTCAAGTGCTGGCGCTTCAATCTTGGCCATAAAAGCTATAGCCAAGACAGGTGCCAATCGTTGTCCCACAGCCAAGCCTCTAGTCTGAGCAAAATATCTCCTCCACCACTTGGAAATGTTGCAACTGAAGTACTCCTTTACAAGTGCCATCAGTTGGGATATAAAGAGCCCTCGTATATTTATATCGTTTTGGTGCTGACTAAGAAGCTCAACCACGGCTTCCATAGCAGACCCTTTGCTGACATTTGTGTAGAGGGCTTCTACATCAGAGGACTCCATTACGCACGAACCACTGAGGTGCAGTGCGCCAAGGCAATCCAGAAACATTTGGGTGTTTGTGAGGTGGTGAGGAATGAACTTGAGGAGCTGCACTAAAACGGTATTAAGAAGCCACGCAATTCGGTCATTAGGGCCGTCCAAGCAGCTTATGGTAGAACGAATTTTCACGGACGTCGGCTGATTGAAGCTAAGTCATCTGCATCCGAAAACGTGTGTCTTTATGAGCAGATACAGGACTGGACAACAAGGCGACTTAAGTGGAGCCGCTTTATCAAGGTTGAACCCAATCATGCTGACCGTGCTACTGAAACACACATCCGGTTCAGTCTTCGAAACTGCCTTTGGAATTCCTGCGTGCTCTGGGGGTCTCGAACATCAGTGTGGCAGTGGAGTTTGGTCGGATAGTCATAAATTGTTATGATCTTTCTAGGCCCCGAAGAAGGCGAATCCGCCGAAACGTCAGCCGAATAAAGCTTGTACAAAACTCGTGAAGAGTTAAAGAAAACAACTCAGTAGCAGAACAAAAATATAACCTGAGAATTTGTTATTTTTTCTATGAAGTGAATACAGCTACTCATATTTGCTTCACATCGAAATTTCAAGCTTGAGCTTAGCTTGAGCTTTACCTTAGAGCAGTCAGTATCTACAAGTTGGAGTATGTAAGTGGTAAAGTAATCGTGCCATGTAAGCAGTCTCTTAACTGTTCCGAGCCGTGAAGCGTTGTTTCTGATCTGAAGTTGATATTGCTGTATGAAACTGTAAGGCAACGCGCAACTAATGTTTAACCTCCGTTTCCTCCTCAACTCTTCGGTTGGCGTCGGGTAGAATGGCCCTCAAGGTAATATCCGCATGTTCGTTGCCGGTTCCATTGTATTTCGAAGGTGGCACCAACTGACCAACCTTAAATGAATTTACGGTTAGCTCTGAAAAAAACTGTTTTTCCTTTTTCAACTCTTGAGAACTCGTCATGGGAATAATCTATCCAAACGTCTGAAATGTCTACTACCAAGAACTAACCGCAATAGCTCCGATAATAAGAATAACGAGAAACAGACGTTCCATGATAGCATGGGGGTAGAATCTACTGCACGGCTTTTATACTACTTCAGCGTAATCATAATGGCAATTTCATGGCTTCTCGAACTATTCGCTTTTCATTATATTTCAGAGTTTTATGAAAAAAATTATATGATAATGTTCAGTTTTCCTAGCCTAGCAAGCATTATCGATGTTGTGATTTTATTCGAACAGCAGGTATTTATACGTTTTTCATTAATGTTTATATGTTTATGGCATTTATATGTCCAAATTCAGAGAAAAATGTGCTCTTTCGAAGAGAATTTCCTAGACGCTTATTCAATTCAATTCAATGAATAGCGATTTCTTGACTGACAAGAAAGTCTCCGTTTCT